TTTTATATTTTTTTTAATTATTTTTGATACCTTTTGTTTAGTTTGAGTTTATGTTTTTGATAGCCGTTGTGGGCATTTTTGCAGAAATACATCTTCATTTTAAAACGAAGGATTTTCTTATTTCCGCTCGCCCGAGCGGTTGTCCGCCACATAGTTAAATACAAGATAAAATTTTACCGATTAGGTCACCTACTAAGTTACAAGATTCTACGCAATTGGTTTTAAGGGTGTCACTGGTGTCATTCTGAAATGCTAAAGAAGCAAAAAACGGATTATCAGTACCTCAATAAAAAAGAACTCTAACTGATTATCAGTCCCTCAACAAAAATATATTTTTTATTTAGGCCATAGGGCCTCGTATTTTTGTTGTACAAATTTTACTTCAAACTTCAGATTAAATTTATCTTACAAACAGATACAGAGTCACATATACAGACATACATACAGTCATACAGACAGACAACAAAAATACGAGGCCCTTATTTATTTATTGATGTACTGATCTCTACTTTACCACGTATAATTTATTAGTTATATATTGTAAAAAATTAAACACCAGTCACTATATTTTAAAATAAACCAAAGCAAGAAATCACTTTCGTGGCCTAAAATCACCTTCGTGTATAAAACACCACGAAGGTGATGCCACGAAGGTGACGAAAATTTTAGTTTTTTATGAATTATCCTTAAATTTGAATTTAACGGTTCAAGTCGAATACTACACAAATAAGTCTAACATGTTAAGTTTTCAATGGCAAAGTTTCAATTAAATTGTTTAAATTTTAGAGGTAGAAAATATTGTTCAAGCAAGCGACGGTATGTCTATGGACAATCACAAAAAGCTACGTATTTTTTTCGCGGAGCGACGATCGACCTATCTCACCTCCCCAATGGTCGAAGCGTGACTGACGTTAACCGAATAGAACACTGTGATTGGTTCCTGGTGTTCGGTTTAACGGCAATCTTGTATTATTACTCAAAATTTTAGGTACCTAAAATCGTGTGACCAACGTATTTCGCTTTCTCAATTCAAAATAATTATAAGAAGATATTTTTTTGACTATTGTGTGGAAAGTATATTTAATTACGATGATTTTAGTATATGCTACACACAAATTGAATGAAAATTGTGAATGCAGTAACCAAATGTTTCATTGCAACCGAAGGTGTGACACGATGAGAACGCCAAAAATGACCCCGTTTTTTATCGTTTCATGCGATTATTTCGTATTATTTTTGCTTCTATTACGATAAAATTTATTTTGAATGTAGCTAAATAGATATTTTATCATCTGATTTCAAAGGTATTGTTCTAACTTATACCGTTTATGAACTATTATTGTGTGACCATCAAATTTGAGTGTAAATGAGAAGTACCCATGTAGGTGTAGTAGGTATTGATACCTTATTTAGGAGATTTTTGGTACATAATTACAAAGTTTATTTACAATAGTATGTCACCTAGCTGAGTAGATATTATTTCTTTTTTACAATAAAAACAGACTGTTTCATTTTCATCATCATTTCAGCTACAGGACATCCACTTTTAAACACAGGCCTCCCCCAATGACTTCCACATCGCCCGGTTGGCAGCGGCCTGCATCCAGCGCCTTCCTGCTACCTTTATAGGATCGTCATATTCTGTTTCATTTTGAGTATTAAAAATTCCGTTTGTTGAGTTCGTGTTTATAAAATAACACTATTTAAAACTGCTTTATATGACACAGTGTGGCTTGTATAATAAATGACTTTCGATTCAATGAACGTAGGTACGTTTGTGTTAATATGGATCCAAACAAAAGTTATTTATTCCGTTCTAATACTAGTCTACGAAGTCCAAAACAAATAGTCATATTTCTGTCGCCACCTCATAACTATTCATGAGGCCATACAAACCGATATTATAGTAGTTTACAAGCACAAATCACAAACGTGAGGTAAACAAACATTAATCTGATTATGGATATTTGGAGGAAAAAGGTTCCGTATGAAAAAGTTTGGAAAACTACACTGAATTACGTAGAAAATAGGAAATGTGAGATTATAAAGCCTGGATGCGGCAGCATAGGACTGATTTGAAAATTATAAATAACTTGAAAAATCGAACTGCCTAAGGCATAGGACTGGTTATAATGGAAATCTTTAGGTCGAAAAAAAGAAGAAAAAGAAAGAAGAAAGTTCTTCTGTGTTCTCCGACAATCGCTTTGTAGCACTTCTTTTTCATATCCCTTATGAGTAAACGCTGATCAAATCTAAAGAATTCTTTATTTCAGCAATAGGAAATTCACAGCTGAAGACCTCTCCCAATGATTTTCAGATTGGGCGGGAGGGAGCGGCCTGCATCCAATAGCTTCCTACAACCTTTGGTTTCCAATCAAAACTCCGCACTGAAGCTGAGCGGAGAGGTGTTGTGGAAATAACGAAATCTCATTGGTTCTTCAAGCACATCTTCTTTCCCCTAAGCTTTGGCGGAATCCGGGCCTTACTGAATAAAGAAGTTTCAAAATTTTACTAAGAAAGAATCTTGAGTGACCCTGGCAGAAAATTAAAAAATACTAGATTTTTAAAAATTGGGTCTGTCAATAGCACTAGACCAGGGGGGTGAGTCACTGTTTGTACGCCGATAGAGTGGTGTGAAGTCACTGTTCAAATGGCGCCAAATATTTGTTATGCTAACTTTAGGGCCCTGTAACTTCTTTATTTATTGGTTTTACTTATATTTTACTATAGAAAAAAATTTGACGTCATAATTAGGTCTACGTTTCATGATTTCCACACTGATCCCCAAAGTAAAATATCATCAGCACGAAGGCAATTCAGCTGTAAATTGTCGAAGTACGAAAGTTACAAGTCACTATCTGATCGTTTTTATGACATTCGCGAAGTGTCATTATGCTTGCTTTGGAAAATGACATGTTATTATTTGGCACTCAGAATGTGGTTAGGCATTAGATTGAATGTGACGAAGTAAATGAGTTTGTGTAATGGAATGAGAAATACCTATACAGTTCCAATATGAATATAATTTCAACAGAAAGGTTATACCAGTAAGGATACAAAATTTGGAAAGTTTGGATTTTAATAAAGGTAAAGGTACGTAGAATAGGTAAACTTCTGTCCGTCATTGGACGGTAAGGTTGCTCTAAAAATGGGTACATCTATTTATAGAGAGAGAGAGAGGATAGTACTCGATTTTGTATTACATAGGTGTAACGCAAGGATCGATACTAGGCCTCATGCATGTTCTTAAAACGGTTATTATTAAAGATTTACTTGACTCTGCTTTTGATCTCGTTTTATTGCGAAAAAGAATCCTGCTATATTAGGAGCACCGCAAGAGTCTATACTACACTTGCGAGCAAAAGTATGGAATCACTTACATGAAGTTGTTTCCACGCGATCTTGTGTACTAACCAATTTGTTAGTAACAAAAAAAATAGCACCATTTTAAAGATTAAACTTTTAGCTTTAAATTGATACCAAATTCATTTAAATCACACCAGTATTTAAAAAGATATCCCGGCTGATGTGAAGAAGTAAGGAAAAAGACATGTATCAACTGTTTGATACGTCGCGAGTTGCGGCCTATTTACCCCCCATAAAAGCAAGTGTTTTCGGATTTTTGCTTTCACACGTTGATCCATACACATCTCCGCTTCTTTTGACACTTTACCTGGGATTCTACACCTTCAGAAGCAGCACAAATCGTTGCACTATTGCAAGAAGGGCTCAGCCAGCGGGCTGTCACACGTCAGCTCCACATAAGCCAGTCCTGGGTTTCGAAAGTTTTAAGACGCTTTCGGGAGTCTGGTGGCTTTATCCCGAGACCAAGTTCTGAACATTGCCGGTGCACATCGCAGAGGGAAAACCGTTTTTTCATGTCAACTTCTCTACGAAATCGTCATTTGACTGGTATCGACGTCCAGCAAGAGCTCAGAAATGTTCGTAGGATAGCTGTTAGCAAGTGGACAGTTCGTCTAAGATATAAACAATAGAATTTGACTCCAAAAAGGCCTGCCACAGGCTTGAAACTGACGGCAGGTCACCGATAAGCACGCTTTCAATTTGCTCCTACACATCTCGATGGGAAGTCGAGCAAGCCACCCCCATAAGCCAATGTTTTAGCGAACCAGCACTGCACAAATCGCTCCCCAGGCCGTCTATAGACCCGACCTCTTCGACTGCTGCACTGCAAAAACAGTCTGCATTCATCGGAAAACAAAACTCGCCTCCATTACTCGCCTTCCGAATGCGAGCTAATTGAAAGCGTGCTTGTCGGTGACCTGCCGTCAGTTTCCAGCCTGTGGCAGGCCTTTTTGGAGTCAAATTTTATTGCTCATATCTTAGACGAACTGTCCACTCGCTAACAGCTATCCTATGAACATTTCTGAGCTCTTGCTGGACGTCGATGCCAGTCAAATAACGATTTCATAGAGAGGTTGACATGAAAAAACGGTCATCCCTCTGCGATGTGCACCGGCGCTGTTCAGAACTTGGTCTCGGGATAAAGCCACCAGTCTCCCAAAAGCGCCTTAAAACTTTCCAAACCCAGGACTGGCTTATGTGGGGCTGACGTGCGACAGCCCGCTGGCTGAGCCCTTCTTGCAACAGTGCAACGATTTGTGCTGCTTCTGTAGGTGTAGAATCCCAGGTAAAGTGTCAAAAGAAGCCGAGATGTGTATGGATCAACGTGTGAACGCAAAAATCCGAAAATACGTGCTTTTATAGGGGGTAAATAGGCCGCAACTCGCGACGTATTAAACAGTTGGTACATCCCTTTTTTCTTACTTCTTCACATCAGCCGGGATATCTTTTTAAATACCGGTGTGATTTAAATGAATTTGGTATCAATTTAAAGTTAAAAGTTTAATCTTTAAAATGGTGCTACTTTTTTTGTTACTAACAAATTCGTTAGTACACAAGATCGCGTGGAAACAACTTCATGTAAGTGATTCCATACTTTTGCTCGCGAGTGTAGGTCTTATTTTCTAAGTATTTACCATTTTTATGTCCGTAGTACCCCGTCCCGGAGGAGGACCCACTGCCTGTAGAGGAGCCCTGCGGAGGCCTGCCCTCCTCGTCGACCTCTAGCGGCAAGGTCGGCTCCATGTTCTCACAACACGTCACTTTGACATCACTTTGACACTTGTTATTTGACACTTCACTTCACTGGTACCTGGAAAGAAGAAATTATTTTATGAGATATTGTTTCAATTATTTATTTGTGAGTTATAAGAATTTTTCATCAAGCAACAGTTCTGGGAAAATTTTAATTTGCGAAAGATTTAAATTGAATTTTCCGGGAATAGGACGATCGTAGCGCTTTACAATCAATTTGCATGAATATTGTTCTACTTTTTGTGTTTTATTATACAAGTTTTTGCCTGCGGCTTTTCCAGCGTGACAGAAAAACTGACTTACTTAAATTGACACTTATCTTTGTAATTTGGTCAATTAAGATTGATAGAACACACTATGTACTTAAACCTATACCACAAGAAACGAAAAAAAAAGAATACAAAGTTTAGGCACACCTAACTTATTCTGACGTAGGTAGCCATTATTACTGCAATTTATCAAATTCCGTTCCATAGTTTTTGCGTAACTAGTAACAAACATCCATCATTGGTTCTTAGACGGTCTATCACCAAGAAGCGATCTCTTCCAAACAAACTGAAAATGACTATGCATAATAAACATTTTTTTAAAAGAATACCTCCCTACATCTTTTTAACTCAAAATGCTCAACCTATCCCACACACCCTGTATTAATATTCAAGTTACTTTGAACCAGAACAAGGGAAATTTAATTCCTATTTATCTGAAAAGCGAAAATAGAAAAAGGCTTTTGAATTTCGCTCGTAAAAATTTATGTTGATGATAGACTGGAACCCTTCTTAAAGAAAGATTGTTTATTTTACGTTCGCTTCTAAATTACAATAAACTCCGAAGAAAAATGACGGACACGGGAAAGCTCTTTAGTGTTTATTATTCATTTTAATACAGGGTGGTTGAAGGGCGTAACTAACTGTTAAAAATATTGTTATTACTTTTCAGTACCTAGAAATCTTACCGTGCAAAAACAAATAATATAACTATAGGTCTAGCGTATAACTCAGTCAGTACCTCAGGTTGTTTTTTTTTTAATCTCCAGCCGTAATTACCGGAGTTTGGTTTTTTTAAGGTAATACAATTTAAATATGCAGACAAATTAATGTATATTTTAGAGAGTGCTGGTAACTTCTCGCCAATGTATACGAGCAAACTTGTAGGCTCCATACTTTACACACATTTATGTACAAGGTTTAAAATTTACAAAATAAGTAAAATAATATTTTTAAAGTAGTTTATTTTTCTTTTTTTGCATTTTTTTTTGTTTTAATATTTAATATCTTAATAAATTTCAATATGATAGAAATCTTTATGTACCTATATATATTTATGCTCTACTATTTTTTTCCTTTAAGTACTATTGTATTCTTTTAAATTATTTACAATATATTTACACAGTTCTATGAATGATTGGATGGTGCTTTCCCTCTTTGACAGGTCCAATATTTCAAAACATTGACATATTATGATGTGTCAGAGTATACAAATCTGAAGTACTTCTGAAATCTCCATGACGTTTAATGTCTCAGAACACCCTCCCATACCTCAGGTACTGACTCTGTTTAGCGTTAGTAGACCTAAAACTACATTTTGACTGAAGCTCGTTAATATGAGTTTAGTAAAAGATGGTTGGCTTATTAACTACTTATTCAAAATAATGTTAATAAATAAGCTTTTGGGAACTTTAAGCTGACACACTATTTTTACTTAAACAAATTCCCGTTTACAAATTTTACACGTGATTTACCCTTTTACCGATCGTGTACCTACTCGGAGATAATATTATTCAGCCCTATTTCGCCTTTTCCCTCGCATTTGGTTTTAGAATTTAGGCCTTGGATTAGGGGCTCTAATGCGCAGGTCAGCTGGTTTGCGGGTCTCCAAACCACAAATGTTCGGAATTCGCTGGCATTGGACACCCTTATTTTGTAAGCTAACCCTGTATAAACAAGATGACATTTCACTAACCTTTCCAAAATCCAACCGCCGAATTTTGTTCAAAAATCATGAAACGAAACTACAAACAAAAACCTCCTTTATTCTTTAATTCGGCTAACAACTCGTCGCACTGGCCACTTTCAACACTCGATAATTCGAAATTTAAAAAACATCGCACTCCTGTCATCGCTTTCACAATCCGAGGAACATTCAAAAAGCCCGCGTTAATTTGCGAAACGCGTTCTATATTCAAATTGGGAATGGACGCGCCGCGTTCGAATATTAAAACTGTTGTTTTCGTTGCGCGCCGTGCAATACTGACTGCGTTTAGTTCCTTGGCCACTATTTTTACAGATGTCCGAATAGGCCGGGAGCACAGATAATAAATTTAACTCAAATGGCGACTGTCGGGTAAACCCTATTTATAGGACAGTCGTTAGAACGATAAACTCTACTGGTTAATAAAACACACGCATAAAATATACTAACGAGATTATGATTTACGAATTATATCTAACTAGCTTTTGTCCGCGGCTTCACCCGTGTGCAATTTAGTTTGTCACAGATCGTCATAAATTATAGTCTATATGTTATTCTGGGTTATAAAGAATAATACTGTAAAGTTTCATCAAAATCCATTCAGTAGTTTTTGCGTGAAAGAGTAACAAACATCCATCCAGACATCCAAACTTTCGAATTTATAATATTAGTAGGATTTTGAAGTACATTAATTTCATTTACGATTCATCTCGTCGTAAATATAAAAAATGAAACGTCAGAACAATATTTCTTGGAGGATGAAAGAAAAATCAGCAAGAACCAAAGAAAGTCTTTTAGAAAAGTTATAATGATCTTGTTTACCGCAAAAACCGATTAAGTAATCATTACGATTTCTGGGGAAAATAAAAAGAGAAAAATGTCGCTAGGGTGTAGGGACAATGTAATAAAATTGTACGAAGAGTTTATTGGTGGATGCGCATTTTACAAACGTACCTAGATGAAAGTTGTTTTACTTGTGCTTTTGTTTTTTTTTCTTTTACACCTCAGTGCAATAAATATGTTAAAATTAGTTATGTACTTACTTCAATGATTTATTTCTTCATAGGCCCAAATTCTAAAGAGGAGTACCTAGTACTTTAGTATAACAAAAGCCATTATTTTCTTTAGTCTCATTTTCATTTCTCTTATTAATCTTCCAAAATATGATTAAAATTTAATGCGATTATGCGATACAGCTTATTTTTGCTACATCTACATTTTCCCTCCAAGAAAATAACAAACAACAATACGATATAAACTTCTAATTGAAAATGGATATGCAATTAAAAGTTTCCAACGCACCCTGTCCCCAGGCCTATATTGGCAAGGATCCCGCTCTCAGCCAAGTCGTTATTTTCCCTAATTCTTTTATTATCGTGCGTAGATCATATTCCGACGGCGGACGACTCAGTTATTATTATCCGGAACGTTTGTGCAGAACGTCTCGCAATCGGCAATTCGGCTGGAATTCGTGACATTCCTATCACTAATGTTCTGTCAAGAGTACAACAGTTTTTAATGGTCAGGAATGTTATGTTCTGTCAAGAGTACATCAACAGTTTTTAATGGACAAGAATTTTATGTTCTGTCAAGAGTACTTCAAGATTTTTTAATGGATATGTATGTTATGAGTACTTATGAGAGAGAGTACTTCAACAGTTTTTAATTAACAACACCCGTATTCACAAAAATTACTATGAGGCCTCACAGTGCGCGTGGACGCACAGGGTGACACACGAAACAATCACAGAGCTCTATTCAACGCTGTGCGTTCGTATTGCTGCTTCACTTAAGCAAGCATCGTTTGTGAATACGGGCGCAAGAATGTTATGTACTGTCAAGAGTAGGTACTTTAACAGCTTTTTAATGAACAAGAATGTTATGATCTGTCAAAAGTACTTAACACTTTTTAATGGAGAATTCTCAGTAACTAGACAAGTTTTTTTGAATCTCAATTGTGTCACGTCACGGGCTTGCGCTGGTTTTCTAAAAAAAATATTATTTTTATAGTAAAAACTTTTTGGCATTGTATTATTTTACCTAAAACAATATTTGTAATCGAACAAAATGTGTGTGTCTCTCTCTTTATACGATAGAAGGGTAATGTCATCGTTCGTTTACTAAACGTATTTAATAGGTCGCTACTCTAAACTTTATTTTTTTAATCTATTCCTCCAACAGAAGCCAAGGAAAAAAGCTATGCAGCCTAGCATAGCTTATTACTTTTACATCAAACACTTTTTACTGAAATTGTTGCAATATTCAACCAATGAGGGCTATCGTTTTAGCGCTCACCAGTTAGCGCCACTGTAGAGTAAGGTCCTGTCACTTGCTAGTAGCGAAGACAGTGGCACCAACTGGTGAGCGCGAAAGTGGTCGGAGGACTATCGCATTTGCACTCATCAAGATGGCGCCACTGTAGAGTAAGGTCCTGTCAATCGCCAGGGGTGCCAACTGTTAAGTATAAAAACGATAGCCCTCATTTAATCATGTAACCCCTAAAATGGACACAAAAAAACTTACTTGTTTCGCTAACATCAGTAATAAAGAAAAAAATATATATAAAAAATACAGTAAATAGAGTGTAGAAAAAATTTCTAATTGTTATTGCCAACTTTTCCATTACATTCCTAGGAAAGAGCATACGCCAAAAGATGATATTTTTTTAACAAAATGTCACTACAAAGACCACTTTGTGCTGTCACCTCGGCTGGCTCGTTGACAGGTGTGTGGTTATTCCCTATTTTTTTTATTAAAGCGTAGAGTAGATCATCTTGATATTTATTATTATTGTCTTTCTCTGAAGGTGAAATAGTTTTGGAGATCTTTGTTGTACGAGTCAAGTCGAACATAAAATTAGTCTGTTAAAACAGTATTTTTTGTTAACTTGCATTTATAATAATGCACTATGGGCAGCTTCGCCATCATACATCATACTCTTAGATTAGACACAAAATTTTACGTTGGTCCTTTGAACCGGATAGTTCAGCGACCTTTAAAAGGAATAAAATTTGATATTTCCCATCATCCATTTCATCATTTCATTTCATTTCCATGTGTCGATATTGAAACGGCATGTCACATAAT